CTGTCTCCATTTCCCATTCCTTCTTCCCTCTATGCCACCTCACTGTCCCTCAGCTCTGTCCTGTGTCTGTCCGCAAGCCCTGAGACCCGTCCAGAGCCAGCTGTCTCTCACCACTGCGCTGCGCAGTGGCTTCAGGCGCATGTTGAGGACGGGGGCCTCTGCGAGAAAAGATGCGTTCTTCCTCTCCTTTGCCCTCCACCTCTACCCCTCCGCTCTTCCCCCCCGTCCAATCTCGCTCCTCCCCCCATCGCCCATCATCTCCATCTCTCAGAATTTGTTTTCCATATACATAGCTCCTCCTCGTCGCACCACGGGTCATGCCGTCAGGGCGGGCGGGGCATTATGCCTGAGACTTCTTCACCACTTTTGGTCCAGGAGCGTGATATCGAAGACGCCTACGGCGAGTCACCGCCACCCCCCGTATTTTGGGAAGCGCGTATGTGGCTGAAGATTGTGGCTATGGCTCGGCCAACCTATTGGACGGTCTGTTCCCCCAGCCGTTGTGGAAACCCTTCGGGGAACACGAGGGGGCAGACATAATAATAATAATAATACTAATAATAATAATAATATTAATAATAATATTAATAATACTAATAATAATACTAATACTAATAATACTAATAATAGTAATAATAATAATAATAAGACAAAGAAAAAGAAAAAGACAAAGAAGAAGAAACATAGAACAAATAAACATAAGAAAAAGAAGAGGAGAGGGAGGAAAAGGGATGAGGAGGAGGAGGAGGAGGAGGAGGCTTCTTGGGAGCCTGTTGGGGCACCCTTGGGGTCTCTCAGGAGCTTCTTGGGCGCCTCTCGGAGGCCTTCTGGGGGCCTCCTTCGGCCTCTTGGGGGCATTTGTGAGCTTCTTGGGGGACTCTTTGGCCGTCGTAGGGCGTTCCTGACGTCTGACGCTGTCGGAAGCCGTCTTGGGGGTCTTTCCGGACCGTCTTTGGGCCCTCTCCAGGCGCTTCAGGGCCGGCTGTGAGGCCATCCTGGGCGTCTTGGAGGCATGTTGGGTCTTCTTGGGGCCCTCTTGGGGCCGTCTTGGAGGCCTCTCGGGCCGTTATGGAGCCATCTTGGAGGCCGCTTGGGCGTTCCGGGGGCGATCTTGGTGGGCTCTTGGGCCGTCTTGGGCCGCCGGAGTACCGAAAATGAGCAAACCATAAGAAAATCAATGATGTTGGCCTCGTCGGGCCATCCTGGAGGACCTGTTGGAGGCCTAGGGCCGTCTGGGAGGCATCTTGGGGGCCTCTCGGGTCGTCTTAAGCCATATTGGAGCCATCCTGGGCCGTCTTGGGTGCATCTTGGGCCGTCTTGGGTGCATCTGGGAGCCAGTGAGGGCTCTTGGAGTCTTCTTGTCTGTCTTGGAGGCGTCTTTGGAGGCATCTTGGAGGCCACGCTGGCCAATCAGAGACGATTTGGGCCATGCGAGGGGGATTTGGGGAGCTTTCCAGGTGGCTGGCGCGCAGGGCCGAAGCCCCAGGGGGGGGGGGTCAAAAAGAACCAAAAACCACAACAGACTTTCATCACGCTGGGCGCCCTTGTGATAAGTCAACCGGGGGCAGCGGATCTAGGGAATGGCCTTCGGCCCATCCCGCCGCCGTGCCTGGGTTGCGGGTCAGAGTTCTCAGGGATACCTCCTAGGGTCTCTTCGGAGCGCTCTCGGGTGCCTCTTGGGGGCAGTTTGGGGGGCCTCTGGGGAGCCTCTTGGGGGAGCCTCTTGGGAGCCTCTTGGGAGCCTCTTGGGGCCTCCTGGGTGCCTCTTGAGAGCCTCTTGGAGGTCTCTTGGGGGCCTTTTTGGGCCTCTTGGGGCCCTTTTTGGGCCTCTTGGGGGCCTCTCGGGGCCTCTTGGGGGCTTCTTGGGGCCTCCTGGAGGCCCTTTGGGCCGAGGGCTCGAACTGTCCGCTCGGGCTTCCATTTGGGCCACCTCTTGCAGCCGTCTTGGGGCGCCTCGTGGGCTGTCTTGGGGCCCAGTTGGGCCGTTTTAGGGCCCTCTTGGAGGCCTCTTGGAGCGATCTTCCTCTTGGGCCGTCTTGGAGCGTCGGGAAGCCGGAAAGGCGAGAACGCCCAAAATCTTCAACATCCGAAAGGAAATCAATAATGTTTGCCGCTTGGGGTCCTCTCGGGAGGCCTCTTGGGGCGTCTTGGAGGTATCTTGGACCGTTTGGGGGCCATCTTGGGCGTGTTAGAGCGATATCTGGGCGTCACGAAGCCCACTTGGACCATCCTGGAAGTCTCTTGAAGCTCTCTTGGCCTGTCTTGGGGCCCTCTGGGACCCGAACAAATCACGTTGGGAGATGCAGGGGACCCCAGGGGGCACGCGACAAGCCCAGTGAGATTTGTGAGTTCGGTGTCAGCGACCATTGAGAACACGCTGGAGCGAGGATTGGGGTTCAGGGATGAGGCAACGGACCTGGGCACACGCCCACTCCGTGCCCAGGAGCACGATGGCGGATTCGCAACAGCTACAGAGATACGGGGCGGGCCGTTCTCGTAATGCGGCTCTCGCCCCAGCGCCGCGCGCATGCGTCGTAGAAGCTTCCAAGAGCTGGAAGGATGGAGGGCAGCCCGTTTTCAAGCGTAGTTCCCGTCCGAGGGCCGCGCACTTTCGTTCTAACATCTTCCAACCCGTCCAAGCATAGAGGGCTCTTCAAAATGGGGCTCCCCCCTGACATTTTCTCAAGCTATAGCGTCGAGGGTATACAACTGCAGCCCATCCAGAAACGATCCAACAGGGGAACATTATGCGCATGCAGTGGGACAAACATGTGGGACAGTCGCCGAACTGGAGCTCGGGATCAGCATGAGCAGACCCAGGAGTCAACCATAAAGGCAGTCGCGGGTCTTTCGATCTGAGCGCCCCTTGAAGACTTATTGGGGCCAACTTCGGGCGCTGTTGAGTCCTTGATGGAGGCATTTGGGGCTCTCTTGGTCCCCTCTTACAGCCTCGGGGGCCCATTGGGCCATCTTGAGGGCGTCACTGACTAGGAAACTTCGCTGATTAGCCTCGACCCTTCGGAGTCAGGCGTCTCGTCTCCTAAAGCCCTCTTTGCTCTCGGGTGTGTGTGGAGTCTTTGTGGGTCCCTCTTGGAGGCTCTAGTCTGTGATCTCGGCGCCATCCTGAACTCTCTGAAGCCCACGGGGAGCGAAACTGCAAGTTCGCCGACATCATTGAATACAGTGCTGTTGGGTGATTTGAACACCTCGGGAGTATCCACAAGAGGCTCCGAATCCACTTGGACCCGCCTTGGGGCGGTCTCGCAGTCTCTTGGAGGCATGTTGGAGGTCAGATTGAGCCGTGTTGGACTATATTGTGTCATCTTGGAGGCCATCCTGGGTTATGTGAGGCCATCCTGGAGCCATCTTGGGTACCGTGGCCACTTCAACGCCTCGCAGTGTGGACGTCTGGACCCAAGGAAGGGGGCAGGGGAGGGGTCGAGTCCCCAAGAGGAATCTCACAAGCTGTCCCGCTCACTTCCAGTCGCTCTCCCGCCAAATAAGTAGATGAGCAGCACCCGATACTCGGCCCAGGCAGAGGTCGGACATCCATTGGGAGCCAACGCCAACGCGATCTGCGCTGCGCTTGCCAGGTGCGCTGCGCGCACCAGATGCGCCAGGCGCCTCAGGGGCCGAAGCCTACCAGGCCACCTCCGCCAAGAGGGCAGGTGGGTTTTGTCCGTAGAAGAGAAAGCCGATGCAGCAGCTACACGGATGGAGGGCGGTTCGTTCTCAAAACAGCGTTCACGTTTGAACGGCAGGCGCATGGGGATTCTTAGGTGGAAAATGATGTTTGCAGGGACTTTTGACGAGGGGGCTTCAGCCAGGAGGATGTATTGCAGTATCGCTGATGCACCCTTGTTTTCTTATGGTCCTCCTCCTCTTCCTCCTCCTCCTCTTCCTCCTCCTCCTTCTCCCATCCTCCTCGTCCTCCTCCTCCTCCTCCTTCTCCTCCCCCTCCTCCTCCTCCTCCTCCTCCTCCTCCTCCTCCTCCTCCTCCTCCTCCTCCTCCTCCCCCTCCTCCTCCTCCTCCTCCTCCTCCTCCTCCTCCTCCTCCTCCTCCTCCTCCTCCTCTCCTCCTCCTCCTCCTCCCTCCTCCTCCTTTCCTCCTCCTTTGCCTCCTCCTCTCCTCCTCCTCCTCCTCCTCCTCCTCCTCCCCCTCCTCCTCCTCCTCCTCATACGGAGGGCGCCAATTGTCTGTATGCCTACGCCGATCCTGGCCAGTCCAGTCCTGGGCCTAGGACCGGTGTGTACGTCATCCTTGCTGGCACATACGCCGATCCTGGGCTCAGGATCGGTGTAGGTTCCTCGTCCCTCCTCTTCGAGTGTGCTTGACGGGAACTCGTCCCCCCCACGCCTCGACGAGGCGCAGGTGCCGGCAGGGCTCGACCTAAACGGCGTTTTTTGGCGATTTCGTGGACCTGTTTCGTTTCGATCTCGCGTTTTGCAGCTAAGGCAGGACGAAGAAAAACGAACACGGAAAACACGGTTCAGGTCGAGCTTTGGGTGTAGGTGTGCAGCCGGCGTCCTCCGATCCCTTCATCGTGCCCTCCGCTGTGCGCGTGCCCGATGGAGACGCTTTCCCTCCCGCGCTTCGACGAGGCGCAGGTGCAGGCTGCGGTGTAGGTGTGCAGCCGGCGAGGCCTTCCTCGTGCCCTCCGCTTCGCGCGTGCCCGACGCGAACGCTTCCCCTCCGCGCCTTCACGAAGCGTATGTGCAGGTGTGCAGCCTGCGTCCTCCAACCCCTTCCCCAGACATCCGCTGATATAATTGTTTCAATCCGTGGCCCCAGAGGTCCCCACCCCTTCCCCCGGGGCCGGGGTGTTTTTTCGTCCCGGATCCATGTTTGATGGTCCCCTGGCCCGACAACGGACCCGGGAGGCCGAAATCCAGGAAAAAACGGCATACTGAAAGCATCATATCCTCGGATCTTTGGGTCATCGTGCCCTCCGCTTCGCGCGTGCCCGACGGGGACGCCTCCCCCACCGCGCCCCGACGAGGCGCGCGCTGGAGGCCAGGGAGACCGAGCTGGGGCCCGCCCACGCTGGGGCCTCAGGGGGGCGAAAGCAGCCTGCGTTTTGGCACGTGCCTGCCTGAGAGGAGGACGAGGACGATACCGATGAGGAGGAGGAGGAGGAGGAGGAGGAGGAGGAGGAGGAGGAGGAGGAGGAGGAGGAGAACGAGGAGGAGGACGAGGACGCGACGAGGACGAGGACGAGCAGGAGGAGGAGGGAGGAAGAGGAGAGGAGGAGGAGGAGGAGGAGAGGAGGAGGAAGAGGAGGAGGAGGAGATGAGGAGGAGGAGGCGGAGGAGGAGGAGGAGGAGGAGAAGGAGGAGGAGGAGGAGGAGGAGAAGGCGGAGAAGGACGAGGACGAGGACGAGGACGAGGGCGCGGAGGAGGAGGAGGAGGAGGAGGCGGAGGAGGACGAGAGGAGGAGGAGGTGGAGGAGGAGGAGGAAGAGGAGGAGGAGGAGGAGGGGATGAAGACGGGACGAGGACGAGGAGGATGAGGAGGAGAGGAGGCGGACGGACGACGAGACGAGAGGAGGAGGAGGAGGAGGAGGAGGAGGAGGAGGAGGGGGACGAGGACGAGGACGAGGACGAGGAGAGAGGAGGAGGAGGAGGAGGACGCGGACGAGGACGGGACGAGGACGATGACGATGAGAAGGAGGAGGAGGAGGAGGCGGAGGAGGAGGCGGAGGAGGAGAGGAGGAGGAGGAGGACACGGACAAGGCAAGACGAGGACAGGACGAGGACCAGGACGAGGACGAGGACGAGACGATCACGAGGAGGAGGAGGAGGAGAGGAGGAGAGGAGGAGGAGGAGGACGAGGAGGAGGAGGAGGAGGAGGAGGAGAGGAGGAGGAGGAGGGGGAGGAAGAGAAGAGAGGAGGAGGGAGGAGGAGGAGGAAGACGAGGACGAGGATGACGAGGACGAGACGAGGACGAGGAGGCGGATGATGAGGAGGAGGAGGAGGGAGGAGGAGGAGGAGGAGGAGGAGAGGACGAAGAGGACGAGGAGGAGGAGGAGCAGCAGGACGACGAGAGGAGGAGGAGGAGGATGAGGAGGAGGAGGAGGAGAACGAGGACGTGGACGAGGACGAGGACGAGGACGAGGACGTGGACGGATGAGGAGGAGGAGGAGGAGGAGGAAGAGGAGGAGGAGGAGGAGGATGAGGAGGAGGAGATGGTCGAGGACGCGGAGGAGTAGGAGGAGGAAGACGCGGAGGAGAGGAGGAAGAGGAGGAGGAGGAGGAGGAGGAGGAGGAGGAGGACGGCGACGAGGAGAAGGAGGAGGAGGACGAGGAGGAGGAGGAGGAGGAGGAGGAGCGCACCCACTAGCGCGGCGGGCCGTCTGTCTCGGCGCGCCGCCCGAGCGCCCGACAACGAGCCGAGCGCGCGGGAATCCCGCTGGCACCCGCGGCCGTCGGCGACGAGGGCACCCCCCCCGACGGACCAGGGCGAGCTGCCCAGTCGCTGGCCTCCGAGGAGGAAGCCATGACCAGACAACGCACCGCCAGACACGGCGACGGCGACCCCCAAGGGCCCCGCCACCCGCCGCGGCAGGGCGGGCGAGGGCCCAGGCGGGCCCCACCCACCCGCACTAGGGGAACCAAGGACGGTTCCCGAAGTGCCCCGAGGGCCCGAAAGACCGCAGTTTTCCGAGCCGCTCCAGCACACGGCACGGCCCGCACCTAGTCGGCCAGCTCCGCGCCGCGAGCTACCGTGCCCATGATCGAGGACATGCCGAAGACGAGGACGAGGGGGCCCCGGACGCCGCCGCAGCCGCCGCCCCGGCCTCGAACGGCTCCCTCATGAGGCACCGCCGCGGGCTCCGCCAGCGAGGGCACGGTCCCGCTGGGCGCGAACGGCCGCGGCGAGGGCGGCGGCGAGCTCTGGCGAAAGCCCGTGCGCGAGGGCGATCGCCGCGAAGGGGGCCGCCTCGGAGGGCTCCGCCGCGGCGCCAGCCGCCAGGGAGCCAGCGCCATCGCAGGCCGCCGCCGCGCCAGCATCGCCACGGCCAGGGCGTGCTGGGCGGCCACCGTCGGCCCACTCGTCGTCCAGCTCCTCCTCCACCTGCGTAGTGTCCAGCACCATGAGAGGAAGACCAGCAGCAGCAACATCATGACGTGCAGCGGCAGGTGCGGGGCGAGGGCGGCGGCGCCGCCGCCTCGGCCCGCGGCCGACGCCAGCCGCTTCCGCCGCCATGGGTGCGGCCAGTCTCTCTCCAGGGCGGGCGCTCGCCTCTTCGGCCGCCGCGCCAGGCGCGGCGCGGCCCGCGGCAGCCGCCCCGCGGCCCCCTCGCCCTCGTCGCCGCCGCCTCGGGGGAGGCGCGGCGTCGGGCGCGGGCGCGGGCGGCGACGTGGCGGAGCCGCGAAGGCTCGCCACCGCCGCGCGGCAAAGTCCCTCGGCGGCACGCAGGAGGCGGGATGCCTCCGCTGTGCGCCGCGAGAGGCCAGCAGCCGCGTGCACCGCCAGCGCCGCCCCGCGGGCGGCCTCCAGCGCGCACTGCAGCTCACGGTGCCCGTGCGCCATCTGCCCCAGGGACCGACGGCGGGCGCGGCGCAAGGCGGCCCAGCGGCGAACGGTTTGGGAACGGCACGATGGCTGAGGAGGAGGAGGAGGAGGAGGAGGAGGACGAGGAGGACGAGGAGGCGGAGGAGGAGGAGGCGGACGAGGACGAGGACGCGGAGGAGGAGGAGGAGGTGTCTGAGGAGGAGGAGGAGGATGAGGACGATGATGATGATGATGATGATGATGAGGAGGAGGATGATGATGATGCTGATGCTGATGCTGATGCTGATGATGATGATGATGATGCTGATGATGATGGTGCTGACGATTATGATGATGATGCTGATGATGATGATGAGGAGGAGGATGAGGATGATGATGCTGATGCTGCTGCTGGTGATGATGCGGATGCTGATGCTGATGCTGATGATGCTGATGCCGATGATTATTGCTGATGATGATGATGATGATGATGATGATGATGATGATGCTGATGATGATGATGATGTTGCTGATGCTTGTGATGATGCTGATGATGAGGATGATGATGGTGATGATGAGGAGGCTGATGCTGATGCTGATGCTGATGCTGATGCTGATGCTGATGCTGATGCTGCTGATGATGATGGTGGTGGTGGTGATGCTCATGCTGATGCTGATGCTGATACTGGTGATGATGATGATAATGATGATGATGATGATGATGATGATGATGATGATGATGATGATGATGATGATGATGATGATGATGATGACGATGCTTTCTACAGCGGTGGTGCAATAATTGTCATTTCGTGACACGGCAAAATGTGGGCTCGCTTCAGACTCTTCGAACTGGGTGTGTGGCCTCGGTGGTAAGCGCTCTCGAGCCCACTGGCCAAGGATCGAAATGTTACAACTGGCATGCTGCTGCAGACCCGAAGAATGGACGCTTTCGCCGAGTTGCAACCCCGAGAAGAAGGTTTCCGACGATTTCGTCGTTGTTGCTGCCAGGCTACGCTTTACGTGCAATCAGGAATTCTGCTTTCTACTTTTATGGTCATGCTAGATCCTCCATCCAGCCCCAACCAACCTCCAAAAACGCGCTACACAGCCAGGATCACCGTGTAATCCAAGGCGTGTGGCTGTATCGTGTCATTGGGCCTCGTGAGTATGGCACTGATGTGCGGGTCGTCTAACCTCCAACTCAGCCTGACAGCCAAGCCAAGGCGTGGGGCTCACACAGCATTCAATCTGCGAGTGATTTTGCCCAGACCTGCGCTGAGCCACTGCGGGTAACAAGGCAACACAAGTCACAAAGTACACTGTCTCATGCTTGCCCCCTAGTTTGGACGGTTTGGGAAGGCTCGGATATGCCAGCTCTTGCAGTGGATACGGGCAGGCGCCAGCTCGCTTAAGTTGGGCTAAAGAAATGCAGACGTGCTCATTAGCTTATTGGGAAGATGATTTGCAGAGTCGACGACAACGTGCAATCATCTGCTTCGGCCGCGCAGAGCGGATGCCAGGATGGTGCATGCTGTCGCTGGGCAGAGGGGAGCCACTGAGACGTGTGCTTTTGATACAGGCTGTAATCCAGAGCTCCCGTCGCACCAAGTTTCCGAGGCTTTGAAACGAAGACGTCTAGAAACGGTACTCTCGATTCGCGCACAGTCTCGACGTCGACCACGAATGGACAGGAGGACGCAGAAAGCTGGATCTTAACTGCATCCACGTCTTTCCGAGGGTCGCCCAGCACTGCAAAGACGTCGTCGTTGAAGCTGAAATGCGCTCTCAACCCACAGTGGAACCTGAAGTGGGTATCGGCCAGCATGTCATGCTCAGCGAGAAAGTACAGGGAGGCGTCGCTGACCTCGCCAGAGCAAGAGACGCCCATGCCCGAGCCGCACGTCACTTGGAAAATTGGTGATGACGAACTTGTTGAGGCGAACTGATCCTCAAGTACACACTTCAATGCGTCGCGATACCGGTAGAGCTCAGCACCGACGAAGAGTTTTGAGTTCTGCTGGACGAGTACGTCGTGAGTCCCACTCATGAGGTACTCCTTCACGTCCAGCTTTACCAGTACATAGTGAGAGCTGGTATTCAAGGTCTTCACCTTGGCCAGAAAATCTGGCGAACCGCGTAAAGTGTGATGGAGGCCCGACAATTTAGGTCGGAGCATGGCCGACACGAAGTGCATCATGGGCGCTAGCGGAGATCGTCTCGGCATGCAGTGTAGCACGCGAAGCTTGCACGACCCCGCACATTAACGGGTCTTCGTTGTGGTGCCCAGTCTGTGCATTACCTTCTGCGGGCTCTCGTGCAGCGAAGAGACCAGATGCCGAAAGAGCTGGTGATTCGGCTCGTCCTCCCCATACATTGAGATCTCGCGAGCCACATCGCGATATCTGCAACATTGCAACTGGATCCAAATATTCGATGTACCTGTATTTCGTCCGATCCTGCAATGCGTCATCGAAGCTGAATTGGATTCCTGATTTTCGCATGATGGCAGATCCGCCGTTTTTGTCGGTAGGCGATATCCCCCACAACCCCGCTCTGATCTTGAAGAGACCGTGCCTGATCAGCTTGGGCTGTGGAGGTCGTCGGTGCTGGACCTTGGATAGCACCGCGGCTTTCCAAACCTCGTTGTGCACATCCTGGATGAACGACTGGGCAGACACATCCAGCCCGCCAGCGTAATTATGGGACAGTGCGCGGCGGCTTCGAACGGGTCTGTCTCCATTAAACCGAAGGTTTCCCGTGTTCTTGAAATATTGTTTCCACCCGATTTTGTGACGGAGGTCCAGAAGAGCACGAGAAACAGGTTCCACAGGCGGCTTACGGTTGAAATTGAATATATGTTTCCAGTGATGGCGGCATAAGAATTCGACGTCCCATGTAAGTTCACCTGCTGCTGGAAAATGCGCGGATGTCCTAGAATAATCTATGACAAACGCCCGGACGGCCTTGTCCGCACGCCAATAGTGTCATCCGTTGCTGAGCATTGAGACCGGTAGTGAGGCACAGAAAATGTCGCACCATTGATTTATGATGCGCACAGTTGGGCGGGCACGAGCACGAATAGGTACCTTCGCCATGCAGGCGAGACTTCTTCCCAGACGACTCGATACTTACAGCCGCGCCCACCGCCTTGAGGCTGGCACGGGGGAGCTCGAAGACGCAACTTGCGCAGACGACGAACCCTTTGGTCTCGAAGATGGTTGCTTCTTATTGTTAGCCTTCTTTTTCGACTCGGCGATCCGGGAATCAATCACCAGGGTGAGCAACTCATTGGGGTTCTTGTTCGGCACACTCTCGGTAACACGTTGTTTCTTGGCTTCTTCACGCTGGGATTTGTCTAACTTGGATTGTTTTCTGGCCGCCGCTTGGTACACGATCTTCTTGTATAGCCCGGCCAGTTGAGGAAGAAGCCGAACCGCCTCTAGATTCAGTTCTGGGTCGTCGTCGAGATGTAAAAACTCGAACGCTGAGGCCCTGTATTTCTCGATCGCACAACACATGTCCACGAAAGTCGACCGACATGCTTTTTCCTTGAGATCCCTGCGCTGAGAATCCAAAGCCATAACACCCAAGCGTTTTTGAATCAGCAAGTGTTGGGTGTATGCTGCTTTCTTCGCCTCGCGAGTGCTGCCATTCGAGAGGTCGATGTGTAACTCGAAATCCATCCCAGTTGAGTTGATATCGAGAAATGGCGATCGTACGATACTGTGAATGGCCTCACACCCACAGGTATCACATTGTTCTCTAATGCTGTGATCTGTGCTTGGTGTGTCTCGCGGCGTTCGACTACACGTTGTAAGGCTTCGATCGACGCTTGTAGCGACAACGAGGCTTTCCAAATCAGCACCTTGCTCTCAGTGGATGGAGATGTGAAGTTCTTCTCGATGTAGTCTTTGATCATCTGATCCTCTGCGGGTGCGTTTCCTTCGTCATGTTCGAGCCCGGGTGGGGCCAAAGCCAAGGCGCCAGCTACTTCTCATGGGGGCCGTCGGCGACGCGATTGGTCCCGCTGTGCTGGGGAAATTTCTCGCGGTCGTGCTCCAGGATGAAGCACGCGTGTATTCTGCAGTCTTCTCGTGTGCCATGCCGTCAACGTCGGAGTGCAATGTCTCAGAATCTAAGATGACGTTTTCTCCAGCGCTGCTGAAATATTTGGTATTTCGTGACACGGCAAAATATGGGCTCGCCCCAGACTCTCCGAACTGGGTGTGTGGCCTCGGTGGTAAGCGCTCTTGAGCTTACTGGCTAAGGATTGACATGTTAGACCCGAGAATGTTACGACGATTTCGCCGAATTGCAGGCCCGAGAACAAACAACGGTTACGACGTTTTTTTGTTGCCAGACTACGCTGTACGTGCAATCAGGCATGATGTTGCCTACTTTATGTTTGTGCTTATGATTATGCTTATTATTATGCTTCTGGATATTCGTATGCGTATGTGTATGCTTCCGATTATGATTATGCGCATACGTATGCTTATGATTATGTTTATGCTTATTGTCACCAGTATGAATATGATTATGGTCATGGTTATGACAATGCTCATGAGTGTTGCATCGTGCTGCTTACGATTATGAGTATGCTTATGATGTGTCGTACGCGTATGTGGATGAGTATGCGTGTAAGTATGCTTATGATTATGTTGATGCTGAGGCTTAGTGCGTATGCTTATTCCGACGATTCTGCTTACGATTATGTTCATGTTTATGCCTGCGCTTTTGCGTATGATTGTGCGTATTCTTAGGATGGTGATTACGATTATGGCTATATGTATGTTTATGCGTATGCTTACGCGTCTGCTTCTGCTCATGCTTATGATTATGTTTATGCGTCTGCCTTTGCTCATGCGTATGCTTATGACTGTGTTTGTGTTTATGGTTATGCTTATGATTACGATTATGCTTATGCGTGTAATAGTGTGGATGCTGTTGCCTATGCTTATGATTGTGAGTATACGTATGACGATGATATTTGTTATTTACACTTAGGACTACGTTTATGATTATGCTTGTGATTATGAGTATGTGTATGCTTTTGCTTATGCTTATTCGTCTGCTTGTGCTTATGAGTATGATTATGCGTATGATTGTGCTTATTGATACTCGTATGCGTATGTGTATGCTTCCGATTATGGTTATGCGTATACGTATGCTTATGATTCTGCTTATGCTTAGTATCGTCAGTATGATTATGATTATGTTTATGACTATGTCCATGAGTGTTGCATCGTGCTGCTTACGATTATGAGTATGCTTATGATGTGTCGTATGCGTATGCTCATGAGTATGCGTGTAACTATGCTTATGAGTATGTTGATGCTGAGGCTTAATGCGTATGCTTACTCCGACGATTATGCTTACGATTATGTTCATGTTTATGCCTGCGCTGTTGCGTATGGTTGTGCGTATGCTTAGGATGATGCTTATGATTATGGCTATGCTTATGTTTATGCGTATGCTTACGCGTCTGCTTCTGCTCATGCTTATGATTATGTTTATGCGTCTGCCTTTGCTCACGCGTATGATTATGACAGTTCTTGTGTTTATGGTTATGCTTATGCTTGCGATTATGATTATGCTTGTAATAGTGTGGATGATGTTGCCTATGCTTATGATTGTGAGTACACGTGTGATGATGATAATGGTTACGTTTCTGCTTACACTTAGGACTACACTTATGATTATGCTTGTGATTATGAGTATGTTTATGCTTTATGCTTATGCTTATTCGTCTGTTTGTGCTTATGTTTATGATTATGCGTGTGATTGTGCTTATGCTTATGATTGTGCTTATGCTTGTGGTGCAGCCAAGACGCCGAAGTTTGGACCGCTTTGGCTTCGGAAAAGGCTCGCTGTCAGGTCCTTCCGTGGTCGTTCCTCTAGCTCCTCCTCGTGCGCCCAGGCGCTCTTGGTGCCAAAGAGGGTCTTGGTTCCTTAGTTAGCGTTCCAACGTTCAGCAGCCCGACTGTAGGGTGAAGAACGGAGCAGGACCAGTGGGGGGGTCTTCCAAGAAGGCGCCTTGTCTGCCAGAAGCCCCTCCGGAGGGAGCCTCCCCAGCTCGTCCTCCCCCCCTCCTGCTCCTCCTCCTCCACAATTGTACAGTATGAATACTACCCCCCTCTCTCCCGTGACTCTGTCCAGAGAGTGTCCCGTCCTCTCAGCGTATTTTTTGTTTCACAAAACAGAGCTTATTGTTCAGGTTTGGCTAATTATGTGTTTCATCAATATGGTCTTTTCTGGTTCTTCCAAAAGGGTGTTCCCGCTGCAGCGCCGCCCTCATTTCCGCGCTTCGGTAATTCAAAATCGTGCTCCCACTGCAGCGCTGGCCTCGTTCCCGCGCCTCCGGACGGCACTTGGCATTCGAAAGCGTCAACATCGACAGGCACGGTTGCGGCGGACACGTAAACGGGACATTAACCTTCCAAGTCATCTGGTGCCATGCCACGGCATGCAATGCGTTGTTGTGTTGTGCACCGTTGTGCGATGCCATGCATTACGCTGCTATGTTTTGTGATGCAATGCTTCACTACGCAATGCTATGCCATGCTATGACATGCTATGCTCTGCCGTGCTCTTCTACGCCATGCTTTTTCATCCATCGCGTACCCTGTTGGGATCATTGCCCTGCTCGACATCCGACTGCGCGAATAGATAGGACATCTACGCCGTTGTAAGGCATGGGAGGGAGGGGTAGGACGTCAGATGTGACGCCAGCGCACCTAGCTTGTCCCCTCCCCCTCCCCCTCCCCTTCCCCTTCCCCTTCCTCCTTCGCCTCCTCCTCCCCTCCCCTTCCTCCTCCTCCTTCTCCTCATCTTCTTCTTCCTCCCCAATTATCAAGAGTTGCCGAGGATTCCCCAAGCTCCCAGTATGTTCGAGCCAGGGCTTCAGGGAAAGATGGCTCGCCTGGCCAAAGCTGTTTTCCCGCTCGAATCATTCCAGGAGCTCTAGTTCAATCTGGGTTGAGCGCTTTTCTGGGGAAGCCGGCGAAGTTTCCAAGGATTCCAGTACCGTCTGCTTTCTCAGGTTCGGAACTCTCGGACGACATATCGTTCCTTTCGTTCAGTTGGGTTTTCTGCGGAGGATCTGTGATGCGTTGAATGCCTCTCAGAGATACGGCCAGCTTACTCTTTGATGCCAGTGAAGGGGGATCAGCTCCATCATTAGTGTCAATCTCTTGTTCTTCTCGAAGCGATGCGCTGTCATCTGCCAAATCTCCCTGCCTGGTGGGGGGTAGAGGTTGTTGCTGGACTCCTTGTCTTGCGCAGAAGAACCCTGCAGCATTGCCATTGCACATGAAAAAACGACTAAGCACGTTTCATATACTCAGGGCCGAGGGGGCACAGGACTCACGGCGTGCGAGAGTGCTTTGCCTCCGCCTTATCTGCCGTCGGGATTCGAGACCTCGAGCCCTCGCGTGGTGATGAGGCCGTCAGGCCTTCAGGTGCTGCTCGAGGAGTTGACCTTCCAGTTGGGAGCCCGCCTTCTCCTCCTCCTCTTCTTTCTCCTTCTCCTTCTCCTTCTCCTCCTCTTTCTCCTCCTCCTCATCATCATCATCGTTCTCCTCCTCCCTCTGTCCTCGGTGTCCTCCCCCGCGCGCGGTGAAGGGGCGGTGGCTGTTGGCCTGACCCGAGGCCGACACCATCTCGACCCTCGACCGGCTGGTGACGCTGCTCCGGGCACAGCAGCGCTACCAGGACGCGGAGGAGCTGGCGCGGCAGGCGCTGGCGAGGCGCGCGGCCTCGTCGGCGCGAGGGAGGGAGGGAGGGAGGGAGGGAGGGAGGGAGGGAGGAGGAGGAGGAGGCGGAGAAGGAGGAGGAGGTAGACAAGCGTAAACCCAAGACCCATCAACGATATTGCAATAAATCCTCCGTCAAGTTCCCTCTTCACAGGTCCCTGCAAGGGTTCATTACTAAGGAAAGTGCCCCGTTGGAAGACAACCGCTTGAAAATCTGGAGCTGTGCCAGGACACCATTCCTGGGACGTCAGCGCCGCGAATCATACTTGCTGTTGCGTCGTGACGATCCTGAATCGTGCCACAACACCATTCCTGAGACTTTAACACCACGAATTTAAGTGACTACTGCACCCTTGCATTCCGACATCGTGCCAACACGCCATTTCTGGGACGCTAGCCATGCGAATCCTTGAAGCTGTCAAAAGCTTGTACGACGAATGTGCGCGGCGCTGCGGCGAGAACCACATTTTGAGAAAGAGCCGCCCTCCGTTCATGAAGCTCGTGCAAACTTTCAAGACGAACACTGTATGCGCGGCGCTAAGGCGAGAGCCACGTTTTGCAAACGGCCCGCCATCCATCCGTGAAGATCTTGCACTTGTTTATGACGAGTGTGCGCGGCGCGAATGCGAAAGCCACATTTTGAAAACCGCCCGCCCTCCATCCGGAAAGCTCCTGCAAACTTTTAAAACGAATGTGCACGGCGCTAAGGCGAGTGCCATATTTTGAAAGCGACCCGCCCTCTATCCGCAAGGCTGTTGCACATTATAAGCTTCGGGAGCATACATGGTGAGCAAATCTCAAGCGAAACGCCTGGCCCGCCCTTTCGACGAGCCAAGGGGTTCGACAGGGAGGAGTGATTCATATGGAGAGGGATGGATGGAGGAGGAGGAGGAGGAGGAGGAAGAGGAGGAGGAAGAGGAGGAGGAGGAATAGGACGACGAAAAGGACGAGGAGAGGGAGGACGAGAGGGACGAGGAGGATAGGAGGAGGAGGAGGCAAATGAGGAGGAGGAGGAGGAGGAGGAGGAGGAGGAGAAAGAGGAGGAGGAGGAGGAGGAGGAGGAGAAAGGGGAGGAGGAGGAGCAGGAGGAGGAGGAGGAGGGTCTCTGGCCCCCACCCCTGGAGTAGCGCGACGATAGTCGCGCTTCGCGCATCCTGGTCTGGGCAGGAGCGGCTGCCCTTCTCCAGGGTGGCGGCGCAAGAGCGCGAAGGCGGCGCACCGTCGCGCATCGCGGGGCGCCATGCGCGACGTTGGGCGACCCAGGCTTCAGATTGCCCGATGTCGCTAGCCTCTCTGGGGGGGGGGGGGGCGGGGGGCTCCTCGGCGCGGCCCGGGAGCCGTCGTCGGCCCCCGAGCACGAGTCGGCCGCGAGCCTACTCTGGTGCGCCCCCCCGCCGAGCCGAGCAGGCCGCCCAGCCTTTCCCTCGCTGGCTCCCCGTGCGGTGCCTGCCGAGGCGCACGCGGTGTGCGTACGCCAGGCCATGAGCAACGTCCTGGCCGACGAATGCGGTCAGGAACTTTGGCTTAGCTTGTCGCGCTGCCGGTCTTGGCCCACCACGCTTCGCCGCGACACGCTGTCTACGTCCTGGTCCCCAGACGTCAACGTCCAGAGCCTTTCCAGCTTCCCGTCCCGCGGAGCGGAGCGACGCGCTAGCCGCTCGCATGGCATACTGTGTTCGCCGGGGCCGCCGCCGCGACACGTTAAGCAAAAGCCCCGGGGCCCGCAAGGAGCCCCCATGGTGCCCCGCAGGTGCACGAAGGGCGTATCTTTCTTCACCCCCCCGCATATTGCCCTCCCATGAAGCAGCCCCCCAGTCCCCCCCCCCAGGGGTGCGAAGATGATCGCGCTTCGCGCGTCGCGGTCTGGGCCAGAGCGGCTGCCCTTGTCAAGGGGGGGGCGCGAGGGCGCGAAGATAATCGTGCATCGCGTGGCGCGATGCGCGAAGTTCATATAAGTTCATATGGCCTAGGTAATGGACGCACCGCACGACGCACACGCTGCAGCAACATGGCCCCAGATGTAGTTCCTAGCGATGGGCTCACCAGTGCTTGCCAGACTTGTCGTACGCCAGACGGTGCGTGCTCAGGGCGCGCTCGTCGAATGACTCGCCCCGTGGTGCCGCACGTCGCGCTGAGAAGAGTCTCGGTGTCCGCGTTGATCGTCGGCTGGCCGTGTCCCTCTCCCCTTCTCCCCTCCCCCTCTCCACAAGATAACCCTGGCCTTGCAGCCTCTCGAGCGCCCAGGGCGGTGCATCCATTTCCCTTGATCGGGTCGCGGTGTTTGATCGGGCCCTGCGGCCGCCACTGCGGCCATCTTCCCTCTCCAGCGCCGTCCCAGTGACCCACCTGGAGCCGCTGTTGTTGCAGTTCGGGGGTCAGGAGCGCAGTTTGAGGAGGAAGACTTTCCCTGATAAAAAGCTGGGTGCGAGACCCGTGAGCGGCACTTCAGTTGAAACCAACACATGCGTTACCGGCGGGGGGATCAACAATACAGCAATAGTTATTTTTCAGTAGTGCAAGTTCAATCCGGATCGCGGAGTCCCACTTCAGCCACGCACCCAGGGACAGCGAATGACCGTTCGGCCCCCTCATTCTGATCATGAGCACAGCAATATTACGAATAACAAAAACAGTCGTAACACGAACACTCGTTATCATAATGGTGATGATGATGCTGCTGATGATGATGGTGATGATGATGATCATCATCATCATGACGACGACAACTACCACCACCACCACCACCACCACCACCACGACCATGGCGACCGACGACCGAGGACTGACGACCGATGACCGACGACCGACGACGACGACGACGGCGGCGGCGGCGACGAGGAGGAGGAGGAGGAGGAGGGATCTTGAGGAGGAGCGGAAGGAATGGGGAGGAGGGGGGGGGAGGAAGAAGAGGAGGAGGAGGAGGAGGAGGAGGAGGAGGAGGAGAAGGAGGAGGGGAAGGAGGAGGAGGAGGAGGAGGAGGAGGAGGAGGAGGAGGAGGAGGAGGAGGAGGAGGAGGGGAGGGGAGGGAGGGAAGGGGTAGGATAGATGAAGAGGGGGCCACCCCAGGTTAACAAGCGCCACCCGTGGTTAACAAACGCCACCCCAGGCGCGAGGAATCCATCGGGCTGGCGCACCCCGACACGCTGTCCGCGGTCGACAGCCTCGCCACGCTGCTGGCCATGCAGGGGAGGTCCATCTCCTCTCTTCCCCCCCCCTCATCCCCTCCTCTCTCCCCCCCCACCTCTCCGTATCCTCCACCTCCTTCTCTCCCTCCCTCTTTCTCCCCATCCTCCTTCTCCTCCCGCTCCCTCCCTTCTCCTTTTCTTTCTCCCTCTACTTCTCCTCCTCCTCCTCGGCCTCCTCCTCCTCCTCTTCCTCCTCCTCTTCCTCCTCCTTCTCCTCCTCTTCCTCCTCCTCCCCTCCTCCTCCTCCTTTTCTCCCCCCTCCCCCGTCTTCGCCGTCCTCCTGCTCCCTTTCTTCTCCTCCTCATGCGCCTCCTCCTATTCCTCCTCATTATCATCAGCATCATGATCAGCAGCAGCACCATCGTCATCACCATCATCATCATCAGTAGCATCATCATCAGCATCATTATCACCATCATCATCATTGTCAGCATCAGCATCGACAGCATCATCATCAGCATGGTCGTAACCATCATCACCGCCAGCATCATCATCGTTACCATCAAGATCAGCATCAGCATCATCAGCGTCACCACCACCACCACCACCATCACCATCATCATCATCACCATCATCATCATCGTCATCATCATCATCATCATCATCATCATCATCATCATCATCATCATCATCATCATTATCATCATCATCATCATCTCCATCTCCATCTCCATCTACACCATCATCACCATCATCATCATCATCAGCATCCTCATCAACATCGTCAGCATCATCATCAGCAGCATCAGCATCAGCATCGTCATCACCAGCATCTTCATCATCAGTTTCATCAGCATCAGTATCGTCGCCAGCATCATCACCATCATCATCATCATCATCAGCGGCATCATCATCATCATCATCATCATCATCATCATCATCATCATCATCATCACCATCGACATCATTATCACCACCATCACAACAGCCACCATCAGTAGCAGCAGCAGCCGCAGTAGCAGCATCGCCATCCTGCTCCTGCTCCTGCTCCTCCTCCTCGTCCTCCTTCTCCTCATCCTCGGCGTCGCTCTCCCTTCTTCTTCCTTCTCCTACCCCTCCTCGCCTTCCTTCCTCTTTTCTCCTCTATGTTCCCCCCTTCCCCCCTCCATCAGCCCTCTCTCCCTTCCTCCACTTGCCTTTTTACATCCTCCTTTTTCCTCCTCCCTTCTTATCCTCGTCCTCCTCGTCCTCCTCTTTCTCCTCCACGTCCCTCCCGCCCCTCCTTCTCCCGTTCATCAACAGAAGAAGTCTAGTCGAGCATCTTGCCAAGGATGCTCTCCAAAGTGATTTGGCATTGCTTGTGCAAGACCAAGACATCTCGCAGGATGAATCAGCGTTGCTAAATAGCAAGGCAAAGAGGGCTGTAGAGGAGCATCGTAGGGCAGGTCTTGGACGTTGGAGGCACGAATGCCCAGCATACAAGAACACCTCCAGCAGGCTCGCCATCCCCCTCGAGACGCAGGCGCTTCCACGTCTGAGCGACTATGAGGTCCGCTCCCTCCTGATCGAATCCGAGTAGATCTCTTTCCCAAGTAGGCCTGTCAGGCCATGCTGGACCTGATCAATCCTGATCTGGATGCTCAGGTGGCTCGTCACACTGGCCAAGACCATGGACGACCGCTTTTGGCAGTTCGGGCCCCAGGATTTCCTCCCAGGAGTCGTTGCCCTCAGGATTCCTTACAAAATTCGGCGTACCTAGATTTTCGTTCTGGAATGGTTCTCTGACATGCGTCGCACTGGGGACATTGAATATAATCTCGAATTTGCCCACGCCGACCTTCGCTTTGATCCGTTATGCCTCTCGCTCGACATCGCGATCGATGCGAAGCTTGGAGATTTGACTCGAGACATTGCTGTAGGAATCTGGGTTGAGCATGCTGGATCCAGGCGAATGTTCAATTCAATTCAGGCGGGGGGTCCTCTTGCGAGACTTGGTCGGCGACCCGATGGTACGAGGGGGGTCCCCCGCCATTGCGTATCACAGAGCACATGCTGGGCGTCCCCGATTGCACAGCCAGGCGAAGCGAGCAGCTCCAGGTCGGATCAGGTCGGTCCTCAATTGCTATTTCTCTTATCACCCTATGGGCGGAACACCTGCGTGCTGGCACGGCGGGATGGGCTGAGCACCTCATACCCCCCCGACAGGGTTCCTCATGCTCCCTCGCCCTTCTGTTGGCCTCCTCTTGTGGTCTTCGGTTTCTTAGAACACTCTGGTGCGACCGGCTGTGATTGGTGTGGGCACAGAGAGCCTGACACCGATTCGGCCAGCGTGGGTCGTGCACCCACTCGTAGCATCAGGTATCATCAGCATCCGAGTGCCAGAACTTCAGCCCGAGCTGCAGAACACCCCTGGAAAGGGGCGCTGCTCGTCTGTTGGGAAGAAGATCTACCCAGCGGGATTGTGCTACGCCGTTGATCGTTCTGTATGCGCTTCGAAATTAGATGGCACCCACCTGACCCAGGCGAGTCTCCTGACATCGCTTGTTCCCCTGAGCCGAAGGTTGTTACCCAGGGTTTGCTTCGTTTCTATCTTCCGGGAGGGCGGAGGCAGACAGTACATTGTTGGTACTGCCCGACTTCGCTCCCAAAGGCAGGCGAGGGGGCAGGTCCGACCCTGAGCTTCATAGATTCAGCGTTTTCCCCGAAGTTGGTGAGACGGTGGATTCTCCTGTCTCTACTCAGGCTTCGAGGCCCGATGAGTCTGAGGCTGAGGACGTTCTAGACGAGCAGGCAGATCTAGATGTGCAGGCCTTTTTGGGCCAGCCCCGCTCACCCCGCTCCTTCCTCGTCCCTCGACCCGTTGACGTCGCCGTCGGTCGTCCCACCTCCTTCTCTCCCTCCCGCCCTGGCCGAGGAGCAGCGTTCTCGGGTCGAGGCTACAGCCGTGCGCTGTCCCAAGAGCGCCGCGAGGCCCGGCGACGCCAGGACCACGCCCGCTGCGCGCTGTGGACGACGGGAGAGGCCCTACCCGACAGCATGCGACATTCTACCACGTCTCGAAGGGCAAGGGGGCACGGTCCTCCTGCTCCTCCCCGTCCTCCCCCTCCTCCCCCTGGCCTCTCGAGCTTGTCGGGGCTCGCGCTTCCCAGGGTCCGAGGACCCGGGGTGCGGCCACTTGGGCCAGCGGGCAGGTCCGCGGCCGCATCGCTCTGCCGCCGCCGACCGCCGCCTCCTTGTTTCTCCGTGGCGGGCCCTCGCGGATATCGAGCACGCACTCAGCGAAGCCGCGCGTCGCATCATCATACCCTCTCCTCCTTATCGTCCTTCTCCTTCTCCTCCTCCTCGTCCTCGTCCTCCTCCTCCTCCTCGTCATGCTCTTCTTCTTATTCTTATTATTAGTATTATTCGTGGTATTAATCCTAATATAGTTTATGATTCGTATTATTATTATTATTATTATTATGATTATTACCCCTATTATTATTATTATTATTATAGCATTAGTATTATTGTTAGTACTCTCAGCATTATTAGTATTAGTCGTATTATTATTCGTAGTAGTCGTATTACTTTTCTTATTATTATTACTATTATCATTATGTTTAATATGTTTATTTTTATTATTATTATTATTATTATTATTATTATCATTACTATCAGTAGTAGTATTAGTATGATTAGTATTAGTATTAGTACTATGGTTTTTATTACTAGTTCTATTTCTATTATTAGTATCATCATTATTATTGTTATGTTTCCTCCTCCCCCTCCTCCTCTTCCTCTTCCCCCTCTTCCTCTTTGTTTTTCATTTTAATGATTGTCATTCCTCACGTCCTACCTCCTCCCCTTCTCCCTCGTCCTTACTCCATGCCCCCTCATCCCTCGTCCTGTCTTCTTGGCATTCCTTCGCTCCTCGCCTACCGCTCCTCTCTCCCCCCTCCTCCTCCTCCTCTTCCTACTCCTCCTCCTCCTCTCCTCCTCCTCCTCCTCTTCCTCCTCCTCCTCCTCCTCCTCCTCCTTTTCCTCCTCCTAGGTCTGGGTCTGGGTGCGGCAGTCCCAAGTGGGGTGCGTTGGTGCCGAGACCCTATGGGCAAAGGGCAGGCATGAACGCTGTCCCAAATAGGGCGCTGGCAGTGGGGGAAGTGCCCTGTGCGCGTGCCCGCTCCCAGGGGGCCAGGCTTCACTTCGTGCGAGACAGTCTGGGGGGCTACCTGGGAGCCGCGTTTGCCTCATCGTCAAGCGGCGGCGCGCAAGTGCGCGAGCGTACGTGCACATGCCGCTTTTACCTGCCAGCCCATGAAGGCGGAGGGAAAGGAGAGAGGAGGGAGGGGGAGGAGAGGAGGAGGAGGAGGAGGAGGAGGAGGAGGAGGAGGAGGAGGAGGAGGAAGAAGAGCCTGGACGGGGTACGGGAGGAGAGCTGCTTCAAGCCAGGCCGCACCCTGGCCCAAACCGAGGCGGGCAGGCCCGTCGCGATTTGCTTCGCATCGCCCTGATGTAAAAGCCCACCGAGATCGACCCGCTGACCTGTCAAGGAGCTGACGAGGATCTCCTCCTCCTCCTCCTCTTGATCCTCCTCCTCCTCCTTCGCCTCCTCCTCCTCCTCCGCCTCATCCTCGCCCTCTTCCTCCTCGCCCTCTTCCTCCTCCTCCTCCTACATTATCGTGCCCGCTGCTTCCTCCCTCCCTCTTACTCGGGAGCACCAGTTCGGAACATATGCGTTCGTGCGCGCTCGACTGCTGATGTTCGGTGGTGCTCGTAAGGGTTACGCATGAGTCGGCTAACAGTGAGCACCCTGTCACCAAAGAGCATGCATAAAAATGTGATGTTCTACGTCCCTCCCCCAGCTCGCTCCCCCCGATGGGTCTCAACGGGGGCTGAATTCCACGCAGCTCGCTCTGAGCTTCAGACTTCAGGTGGTTTGTCTCGGTCTTCGGATGTCCGGACTGGTTTCAACTGGCTGCCTTTTCTGGGCCTCGTGCGGGATCGATTCACGCCACGGCTCGCGCTTCCCGCACATATACCCACTACCCTGTTCTTTTTGTTTCATCCTCCTCGTCTGGGAGAGAGGAATGTGGAGGATCGAGGTGCAGCAGGACAAGGACAGGACAGCACGAGACTCCACGACCCGGCGTTCGAAAGATCATGGAGGGAGAGGGAGCAGGAGGAGGAGGAGGAAGAGGAGGAGGAGGAGGAGGAGGAGGAGGAGGCGGAGGAGGAGGAGGAGGAGGTGGAAGTGGAGGTGGAGGTGGAGGTGATGTGGAGGTGGAGGAAGAGGAGGACGACGCCGCCGCTACCTGTTGTCGCCGTCGTCGTCGTCGTCGCCGCCGCCGCCGCCCTGAAGGTACGGGGAGGCGGAGCCCCTCGCGCGGCGCGCCACGAGCGGCAGGGAGGTCCGAGGGGCGCCGAACGGGGGGGGGGAGGGGGCTTACAGCGGGGGCCCATGCCAAGAGGCACGCTGCTTGCCTCCAGGGTGCCCTGGGTTTCTTGGGTTTCGATGGCTTTGCTACGGAAAACGCGACGCTCCCGCACCAAAAGTCAAAGGACGCCCTGGGGTCTCAGGGTTGGGTTGCTTGTGGAAGCTTTCTTGTGGACTGGCCTCCACTGTATTCCGTACTGGTGGGCTCGTTTCCCCTTGGCTGCGGCCGGGAACTGTGGCTTAGCAGGTCGTTCCGCCGGTCCTGGCCGCCCAGCCTCCTCCTTGCTGGCTCCCAGTGCGGTGCCCGCCGAGGCGCACACGGTGTGCGCACGCCGGGCCATGTGCAACTGCCCGGCCGACGTGTACGGCCAGGGACTTTGACTTAGCGTGTCGCTCCGCCGGTCCTGGCCTACCACGCCCCAGCGCGGTACGCTATCCACGTCCTGGCCTCCAGGCGGCAACGTTCCGAGTTTTTCCCAGCCTATCGCCCCTCGGAGCGGAGCGACATGCTATCTGCTCGCCAGGCACAGTGTGTCGCCAGGGCCGTCGGCAGCGATGGCGACGTCGGCAGGGGTGGCCGGTCTCCTGATCACTGATTCCCGACGACTTTTTTTTCTCCAGACGGGAACGACTGCCACTTCCCCCCGTGGAGGGTGGGACGCTCGAGGAAAAAGTGTGTCGCCAGGGCCGCCGCCGCGACACGCTAAGCAGAAGGTTCCGACCATACTCAGTATTGGTGGTCCCGTTCGTCTTTGAAGGGGAAGAACATAATGACATGAACATAAACCTTTGGAGGTCCGCGCGGATTTCTCGAATCGGCGCTGGACCTCTCTGGCGCGTGGGGGGTCCCAGCGCCGATCCGAGAATTCCGCGCCGACCTCCGAAGGTTTGTGTCTAGGCCATCTCTTGTTGCTCGACTCTTCCCCTGCCAAGGGCCTCAGGCCCCCGCCCTGGCTCTGCGAGTGCCTCCAGGCTTGCCTCGAGGTCCTCTGAGGGCGAGTATCGGGCGGCACTGCGGACCGGCGGGGAGGGGGACTTGCTCAGGACAGGGGAGGGGGACATCGGACCCCGAATCGCCCCGTGGCTCGGCGAAGGGGGCCTCGGTGCTACGCCCTCCAGACGCGTGCGGTTTCGCTCTCGGGGGCCCATCGCTAATCTATCGGCGATGCATCGTCGATGCCTGGCAAAGGGGTGAGGGAAACGATC